ATGGCCAGAAAAAATAAGCAATAAGGAACTCTGGGAACGAACCAACCAAGAACCTATCACGCAACAAATATGCAGGAAGAAGTGGAGATGGATTGGCCATGCACTGAGAAGGCCGACGGAGGACATCACGCGTCAGGCCCTCGAGTGGAATCCCCATGGGAAGCGACGAGTTGGGCGTCCGAGGTGAGGGTGACATGGAGGAGGTCGTGCGAGGAGGAAATGAGAGCTTCTGGGCTGTCGTGGAGCCAGGTTCAAAAGATCTCAGAGAACAGAGGTCACTGGAGGCGTGCTACTGAAGCCCTATGTTCCACTAGGAACCCAAGGGACTAATAATAATAAAATACCCCGAAGTGGGTATACAAGTGGGGCTTCTGCTAAGCTGTTTGTTTTGGACTTATAGTTTTGACCCACCTGAGTGGTCCAGTTTGTGGGCGATTTGTAGACTGCTTTTTGGTTGCCTCTCTACTTTCAGTAGCTCAATGTGAACAAGCTGAATTATCTAGAGTGTTGCACACATGTTTTTCAGCTAGTATAGTGAATGATCCTGCCTCTTTTCTCTTTACCCGTGCCTCGCCAGTAGAAAAGGATCTACGGAGTTGAACGCCTCCAGGTGTAATATAACAAACTCCAAATACCATGAGGTTTCGATTGGGGGATAGGGCTTCAAGCCGCCTTGTTAGAAAGTGCGCGATGTCATTGTCGTCTCCCGCCATTCTCGGATATCTAGGGCTGGTATCCAGTGTGCCAGAAAGGTGCTGTCCTAGTATTTCATTATGGGTGGGGCTGGTCTTTGTAACCCACGAGTTGCTAAGATGCATCACTTGACACCTCTTGAAATTAAAGTTTCACATTTTTACAGCTGATCAGGACTCCAGCTGCAGGAGGTTGAAGTAAAGTCTCCTAGGATCCTTTTCCTTACCTACGCCCTCCATATCTGGTCTCGTCAGCAAATAGGGAGGACAGACGCGTAGATTTGAGTGTGTGAATGGTAAAAAGAAGTGAGCCAAGGATCGCTCTTCGAGGAACCCCTGTTTCTGCTCCCCTCTTGATGGATTGGATTCCGTTTGCTTCAGTTCGGATGTCTGTCTTCTAGATATGCTTTAAACCATGTCATCACCAGTCTGATTATACAGTTTCGCTAGTTTAGTGAGTGTGGTATCACGTGAAAGACCTAATGAGAGGTTTCATAAGATGTTGGGCAAATAAGCCTGAATTGGCCAAACTAGTCGATAGTCAGTAACTTCTCAGAACACTTCAGATATTTTGGTCATCAGAATTCCATTTGCTGGGCCTAGGGCTTAGACACTGTAATAAAATATACTTCCGTCGCAATAGAAATAACACTCCAGTGACCCAAAGCATGAACTGTCGCTGCTTCGATTGAGTATACTGTTGGTAGGCTTTGAAAGTGATGCGTTAGTGTCTAGGAATGGAATAATGGAAACGGAGGCATTGTGCTCACGTTGGAGTGGTCGGTTGATTTTTGGCACGGCGTAGTTGCTGCGACTGGATTCCTGAGATAAGGAAGGATAGCAGAGCTTGACGACGTCCCTACTGAAGGACGAAGAGCTCCAAAACGGAGGATGAGTGGCCGTCTAAAATGCCAATTACCTGGAAACTAAGGAGGCTACAGTCACTGTATGGACTTAGTTGCCGGACTCTATGTTGTGCTACTGCACTCTGAACGACTGAAACAACTTACTGGGCGTGGCAGATTATGAAAATACAACATGGTTTGGAAGACCTGTGCTGACCGTAGTTTTAGCCTTCAGCTCAACTGCGTGGTCTCCACTGGTGACCACAGCGGAACAGGGCTGAAATTGGGTTTTAAAGGGAGGTGCAACAACAAAGTATTGAGTCAGAGGACTTGATACGCCTTTCTGGAGGCGGTTACAGGCGAAAGATGTTATCTTGGTTGACGACATCGCGGTCTGTCTTCTTCTGATCGACAAAAAGAGGACCCTAACATCTATGACTGAATACTCATGTTCTTGCCGATAAACCGACGACCAGTTCATAGAAAGTCATCTTCTGACTTCATAAAGGTCTTGAGAACATAACTCTTTTTCTTTGGAGGAAAAGTGAAAAAATATGAGGATACAGCCTGTGACGCTGGCAGCAAGCGCGTTTTGGAAGTTAACAAATGGACACCAATAGAACACTTCCCTATTGTTCATGAGACGAAAAGACGTAGAGGAAGTAAGGGGGAGTCTGCCACGATGGATGCACATTCCTCAATAGACTGAACCACCTGAGCCACAAAAGAAGGAAAAATAAGCGTTACAACATGGTCTGAGACAACGGGCTCAACTTCCAGAATAACTCGGTTGAATGACAAAGCTACATTATAAAAAGTCCGTACTGGGCCACGTCAAATAATGGTGCAAACCTGTTCCGAGAAACCCTGCGTTGCATGGGGGCAGAGGAACTGTTGAGCAATCGGTAAGCCAGATAGGACACAAGAGTTTCAGGAAAACAAATGTTTGCTGAACTAATTGCATCAACAAACAAGGAAACGGAAAGGTCAGGACGATACAAGACTAGTGGTTCCACAAAACATTGCAATGCGTGGAGCAAGACTCAAAAGAATCTTTTTACGCGCCCAATAGAAGCAAGTTGACTTCCCAAAGGGCATGTGCGTGCCTTCCTCTATCCAGTCTTCAGTAGAGGGAACTGAAAAGCGCAGGCAAGACAGATGAGGCCGTTTTCTGAATTTGCCGAAATGCTGGGAGGTCTAACAGGTGTTTTTCGTGACTTCCTGGACAAAGGTGCGATCACCCATTCAGCCCAGCATGGCTTCAAATCTTGCCGGTCATGTGCTACAAACTTAGTGATCACTTGGGATAGGTGAACTGCTGGGCACGATAACAGACAAGCAACCAAAGTCCTCCCGAAAAACATAACCAGTGAGGTTGACCCAGTCATGCCGCGTAGACTTGTCCATTACCGAAAGTGGCATAGCTAGGTTTCGAGCACATCCAGAGTAGAGAAAGTTCTGCACGCTTGAGGGCCTAGGGATACAGGTCCCCTAAGTAGCTTACTTTGGTCATTCCCGTTCCTTTTGTTCGTAAATGACCTCCGCATATGAGTCTCTTAGCTAACCTTCCCATTTACCAGCGAAACCAAACGCTTGGGTAAAATCAGTTAGGAAGGCGACTCCATCACACTCCGAGATGATTTGCTGCAGCCTAGACAGTCGAATTTGACTTCAGCTTTGGCCTCAAGAAGTGCAAGGTGACGTATTTTCAGACACAAGAAGCATAAAAAGTTAATCACACTCTGAGTAAATAAGTGATGACTGGGATATCTGCGAAAAATATCCAATCTTCCTGACATGCTCGTCAGAAATGACGAAAGTCGAAAAGAATTCTACGTTGCACTTCCTACGAAAGCAACCCTTAGCTCTTGCTATAGAATATTTTTGATTTTGGCTGCATCCGTATTAGATTGCACCTGAAGGTGTTCAACATGGCATCGTTGCTCCGTCTGCTACAAACCGATGCATACTTTGTTGTGAGGCTGTACATAATAACACCAATAACATAGGTATTTTTCTAAATAAATCCCTTTTCCCTGTTCTCTACTACTCCTCCACTCACTCTAGAACACTTTCTCAAAGTCCTATTCTATTTCAAGTCAATACTTTGTTAGTTGCATTCAGGGACCTTTGAAAACAAGAGACCTAAAACTCCGATTTATCTTACCAGCGACTCCACAGATCCACAACTAACCAGATGACAGATGGTGGAGGAAAGGCTCCTACAGGATAGTCGTTGCCTTGAAGGCTACGCGCAGATAGAATGGAGAGACATCTGCAGTCACCACAATAGTACAGCCGAACAAAGAAAGCCGCGTCTTCGGATCCAAAAACAGTAATTCAAAACTTACATTTTCATACTCGCTGGACGTGTGGTAGAAATCCACCCAGACCCAGGTCCTGAAAAAATCTGATAAGGATTACGTATGTCCATCAAAAGTGACCATGCAGCACTAATTTCTATACTTGGGTAGTACCAGGCGGGTCTCAACCCCATCTCCGTCTAAAAAGAGGTTTCTCCCAGGTCGCTGTACACCGTCACACTGCTAACGTTAATGATATGTTTTGTAATTCGGCTAATTTATTGGCCTACTCCAGCGACTCGGTTGAAATTTCGAGCCTTGTGCTTGTGAGCAGTTTATGAAAAGTGGCACCGTATATTCTAAACATGTCAATTATCCCTTAACACTGATAAAGAAGAAAGTCTGCTGGTTCGTCTCAACTCATTCACCACCCAAATTAACCCAGCAGTAATAAATAACCTAGCAAAACGTTTACCACGCTAGCCGTTACTCGAAGTTGGTCATCTCAAGACTAGCATATACCATTTTACTGTAAACGAATAGTGGATATAAGTGAGCTCGGGAGTGAAAGAGGTATCCAAAATGGTTGCGCACGAACAAGATTCTTGTATTTTCAGTTTGCCATGACCCTAATCTCCTATTCAAAACCGTATTGTTATAGCACTGTCTGTGGCATCGAATTTAAGAATATAGATACAAGAAAATGTAATAATTTTGAGGCACGTGGTTTGTGAACTGATTGAACACGATTTGAAATTGGTCAAAGGAAAATAAGGAATCTGCCGATAAATGGTACTGAGTGATTTTGAAAGTGAAACAAGCAGGCGTATCGCAATGATTAACTTTGCTTCCAAGTAGCATCCTGAAATCCAGCCATTATACTTCTTGTTAAACAGAAGACATAAAGTGGTAATATGTTCAAAAAGTAAAAACTGACAAGATTGGTGCCTCACTGAATATATGAATAAAAAAATTAGATTTTGAATGGTCTGAAATCGTAAACTGTGTGACCACTTTATTGATACTAGTATGCAGTAAAATGTCAAGGAACAAAAAGCGACATATATGTCCTAAGCGTCCCCTCAACAAAAAATAAGGTTTGCATTTTATTCAAATTTTCAACACCGAAAGATAACTCTAGTGGAAGACTATTGACTTACTCCGCTTGAATGGCGATTTCATTGACATTTGGAGCTATGCAGCTTGATCTGTCTATCTGCGCTGCTCTAAAACCGGTAGCTGACATATCACGGATGAAATCTATGAACTTCGGTAGCTGAATGAATTTAAGAGTGCTGCTAAAACAAAAACCAATCGGAATTAAAACCTGAAGGTCAGAAGCGCCTAGATTTTTTTTGTCAATAATAAAAATTAGTGACAAATTTTAGATTTAAAACTTGAGAAAGCCCTTATATTTCGTCTTAGATCCACGTTATGTGATTTGCTTTTGTTTTACTGCATCAAATATGTCACAAATGTAACCAAGACAATTACAAATAACAGCTGATTTCTGCAATAGGTAACTATATGAATTCGTGAGTGGATTCTTGTCAATCCGTAAGATTTTTTAATGGAAGTTGTACCACGCTTTGAATATGAAGTCATTATTCCACCGGAAGGTGGTTTTGTTTCATTTGAACCTAATGCATATTCTCCGCGTAATAACTGCTCACGAATAAATGACAATCATTTCAACAGACATTTAGTTGAGAACAGTTCACTTCACGTCCATGATTTGAAACCGCCTGAAAATGTTAACGAAAATACAGATCTTACAGTCTTAAATGAGGATGCTGTGTTTTCTCAGTTTTCTCCTGTTTACCGAGCTCATTTACAAGGCTTCGAAGAAGTACAAAAATGCAATGCAAGCTTTCATTATCATTGTCTTCCAATACAACTGAAGTTTCTCCATTCGCTACAGAATTACACAATAATAAGACAAATCGGTCTTGGGCAGTTTAGTAGTGTTTACCGAGCAGTGTGCAACCAACCCTATGGTCTTAATGTAGCTTTAAAAGTTATAAAGGTATGTGGACTATGTGTAATTTGGCATTTAAGAACTTATAATGCAGTTGCTTGCTGATCGGTTTACTTATCTGACATACAGCCATATCTTTTGCACCTGTTTTTTATAGTTATTTTCACTTATGTGTGTACTCTAGATACTTATGAGGATCTATAATGTATGAGTCAGTTAATGTCATCCCTATTTGAAACTCCTGAATAACTTATTGCCGTTGTCTCTCTATACACTGATTTCGATTTTGAAGGCTTTTTCATGGTGAGGAATTCTATGTGCTAGTATTTTATCTGGTGATTATCCTTTTGAACTGTTTTGAACTCCAGGTAACACTCTTCAGAGACTGAGTAAGCTTTATGTCTAAGGCCTGGAAATTTCGAATACGCAGTGCACCTGTTCTGCGAAACTTTGAAGTTAAGTTAGACGGATTATCTTCATATTCTACTTTATCTAATTATGAAGTGCAGATGCGTATTGGACAAGGTCAGTTTTCAACTGTATGGCGAGCTTTCCATTTGTCATCTAATCAAACAGTCGCTATGAAAAAAATAAGGGTTAATGGAAATTATCGTTAGTGTTGTCTATGCCTGTTGTATTTTGTGTAGCTGTTGTAAATACTGTCTAGATTCAGACGCTGTATGATTTTCAAGATGAAATTAATTTTATAATGTACGCAAAGTTCCATCGGCAACACTTTGTGTAACGCAGCTGGTGTCCACTTGAGTCTACGAGAATGACGAGCTTGATTTAATTTTCTTCCAAGTAGCTTGTAGAAATGTGACGTTTTGGTGTTATTACTGGCGATTTTTCTCTGTTGACTAAATCGAATTTATCACCCGCTACTTATATATGGGTTCCTCCACGGATGCCTCGATATTGCTATTAGTTCCATTTTGACAGTGATGATAAATATTGCCCAGCAGTTGACTGTAGGCTGTCAGTTTTGTAGAGGTTGACATCTGTCACCTAGTTGGATCTGCATCTCAGTGAATGGTGTTGTCTCGACTGAAATTTGAACCTAGGACCGATCGCTTTTTATATTAGAATGTGATCCACTAATGAACTGAGTCACAACGGCAAGTTTCTGGGTAACAGATGTAAATTTATTGTTATAACTTATGATTTCTGGTCGTTGAGCACACCAAACCGATCGAAAACATGCGTCTTGGATTCCACTACCATCGATTAAGCATTACTGCTATCAATTGTGAATTGTCATTCTGCCTTTAAGCAATCCTAGTTTTTCTGAATATATTTAATTTTGATACCTCTGAAATATTAGATTTCACACCACTTGTATCATCCAGTGAGTATTTCAGAGTCAGTTTGAGGTCAAAACAACACATTATTTGGCAAAATTAACAACACAAAATATAACACTTCAAGCAGTTAGTAACTCTGGCAGTTATGGATAAGTCTTGCTTATTGTTTATTTGTTTACTTTCAGAAAACTGTTCGTGTAAGACACTGTCACGTATGCCGATAATCTGCTAAAAATTTGGCATATCATCAAAATATCTTAATAAAAAAAATACCATTGATAGTATATTTCCCATCTTCAAAGAGTATCTTTAGATAGTTTTACCTCCAGAAAGGCTTGAAAAGCACCACCATCGTTGAAAATGATAAATCGATTAGTTATTTCTAAGGCTTTCAGATACACAGTTTTGCGTCTAATAATAAACTCGCAATTTAAGAAGTGTTCTAACGGGCCTTTGCTTTCGGATCAGTATCTACCGGCAAAGTATATATTGCTTCAAAATACGTTTCTTATTCCTGCTTTAAGGAGTTAATCACAAGTTTCTATAGTTATTTCGCAAACAGCTTTTATCTTCGGAAGCTTCCGTTAAATGTCGAGGGCTTCCAAGATGTCATACTTTCAGAGTAGTGGTGAGGTTATTGAGAACTTTTGAAAAATACTGGGATAAGAGGTACCGTGACTAAAATATATCCCAGCATTTATGTAATTAACTATCTAGATCCATGGGTATGAGAAATTACCTTAAGTTCTTCACAAATTTGTTGGCTCTGAAATTGCTGATAGCTACATCAGAACATGTTGTTTTTCTACTCACATCCGACGGTCAAAAGGTATGTAATGGTCTGCTTTAGTCAGACGTCAGGTTCTCCTTCAATTCTCCTAGGGTTTGTTTAAGCTAGAAATATCAAGGTTATGCAGAGAATATCACGGTGACATTGAGCAGACAAAATGATAGTACTGTCATAAGTAGAAAACCGGATTGCAAGGTTATCTAGAGAATTTTTATTGTGGTAATTGTTATGCTTCCTGTCTATTCATTGTCAAGTTTGAAATCGCATGCAGTAACATCCATGTCAGCACAGTCTCCTAGGGTACTGACGGTATTGCTTTGCACGGCGGATATTTTAGCCTGTTAATGATCTCGATAACGGCTTAGTTTTACATTTATAAAAGCATTTGTATATTTCCAAACATTTTCAGTAAAACCTTTTCCGTGCACCTCTCATTTTTAAAAACTCTCGTAACCTTACAAACTTGGAGTAGAAAAGCGTTTTAAAATCGTAGCGATACGGCTTAATTGAATTAACTGATATAGACTACTACGAAGAAGGTGACCTAAATAATCAGCAAAATGTACTCTTCAACACTGGCGAATTATAGGGGCACGAAATCAAAGACGTTACTATGCTTATTCGAGTGACTTTAAAGGACATCATAATAACTATGGTGATAACCGATTCTTTATGTTTATTCTACAAGAAACTAACTTTATGACCGGAATACCAAAACCTGATTGGCTATTTCGTCAGTGGCTAGAGTAGCCTTTATATTCACTGTACTACTTCCATGAATTAATGACTCGCTGTTTAAATATAATAAATATTTTTCTAATTGTTATTCATCGTAGACTGACTTGAAATAATTCCAAATCTCCACAACTCCCTCAAAATTTAAATATTTTTCTGTCGCTGGTAGAATTATTGAGATGTCGATAAATAGAATGATACTTTACTATGAGTAGCTTTTGAGATGTTTTGCTAGTCTTAGCAGGTTTTAGGTTGTCTCAAATATACAACGTTCAACAATACTGTGAGATTTAACAGTCATAACAAGTAAGAAGATTTTAATCATACCTCTCTTCATCTTCGAATTAATCACATACACTAAACAATGTGATCATTTATTTATCAGATACATGAATCGTAGAATTCATACATTCAGGGACTTGTTTCATGGATGTTTTACAATGTCTTTTATTTCCTTCATAGCTTTTGTTTTATTTTATTTTTGTTTGCACAAGTTTTAGCATTGATGATGATGTAAGGATTTTTTAATTATGTTACACGGAGATTTATTGAGCAGTAGGTGCAGGTGTCCGACCGATAGGTGCTACCTTGACGTGGTAGTCGGGCTTGCATATCACAATGACCCAACGAGCTATGCTGGTGGAACACTTGTCCCCTCGAGGTCCTACAATACCAGAAAGATCTGTTGGATGATGGTAAGACGAAAAGCAGTAACCGTTGTGGTGTAAATAACTACACTATGATGGGAGTCTGAGGGCGAAGTCGTATTGCTGTTAGCTGGATGGGGTGTGACAGCAGTGAGGTGTTTCCTTTGGATGACCAGCAGTTTCATGCTGGTGCTGCCTTCTCAATGGAAGGAGGGGGGGGGGTTAGAAAAGACCGGCCCCAAAACAACCAAAGTTCAAAATAATCATACTCAAAAATGTACGTGTGACAGGCCCCTAGCATATGTTCGATGGGCTCTGTGGTCACAGAAATCTCTTTCAGGTACTTAAAGGAGAAGTATCCTTCCACGGTGTGGGCAGCTGGGACGTGTCAACCGCCCTTACAACTTGGTCAGCACTCAAGTTTCCTCAGACTGCTATCCACCTCACCCCTCATTACCTCCTAATCTTTCTTTGCGTCTCCCAATTAGCAATATTACATCATCTTTAATTTCTAGTTCTGCATCCTTTGACAACGATCCGAGCTCACAGAACAGCATCCTTGGTTTCCTTAAACTACGCTCCAAGTTACATATTGGAGCCTTCAATGTCCACACCCTCCGTCAAATTGGTCAACAGTCTTCGTTAGCAAAGACTCTAGCAACTCGGGTCATAGATGTGTGCTGTGTTTGTGAGACACGCATACAGGACCCAAGTGCGGTCACCTAACATCTCCCGACCAATCTAGTGAATCCTGCAAAATTCACCCTCCGAGTTTCTGGAGATCCGATAGCTAGCTCTCTCGGTCTTGCAGGTGTAGGCATGGCATTAAGCACTAGGGCAGAAAACCCGCTACTAGACTGGATCCCAGTTGATAGTTGCCTCTGCGCTATGCGGCTGAACGGCACGTTGAGATCTAAAAAGAATGGCGAAACTCGCCGTTGTCTCTTTGTAACCTCTGCTTACGCACCCACTGACTGCAGCTCGGATGAAGTGAAGGACGAGTTCTGCCGTAAACCATCTAGCCTCCTCTCGAAAGCCAAACGTTCGGAGGTGGTGGTTGTTGCAGGTGACTTCAAAGCGCAGGTGGGTAGACTCAGTGAGGCAGAAAGGCACTTAGATGGTACTTTCGGAGTCCCGGCTGAACATACAAATAACGGTGATCGCCAACTATAACTGTGCTCAGATAACCGCCTATTTTTAGCCAGCACAAATTTCAGACATAAGAAAAGACACTGTCTGACCACCAAGCTCAACTCAGCGATGGACACAGATAGACCACATTGCTATTAGTCATCACTGGAGAGGATCAGTGGAAGACTGTCGCTCCTTCTGGAGTACGTGTTTAAATAGCGACCACACGTTGGTTTGAGCGCGTGTATGTCTGCGTCTCAATTGACGTAAGAAAACATTGGCAATAAAACGACCACGAGTGCTGCTGGACAACGAAAACACCAAAGCCCTGTTAAGTGAGAAGTTGGTTAGGCAGTTGTCGGAGGAGAAGACTATCACTCATCCAGAAGAAGCTTGGTGCCATTTCCAGTCTGACTTAAAAGCAGCACTGAAGAGCGTAGC